TCATTAGTCAACATAATTATGTTGTCAAAACAATTGAAATGACAAAGATAACCCTAGCACTACCATGGTTTTGTTTTCCTGTATAATTGCATCATGAAAACAATTTAAATGATAATATGTCACTATACACCTATACTATTATGAGTAATTTTTTAATGTATTGTCAGTGTATACATACACGAGTATAGATATATGCCATATAATCCAATTTCAAATTTAAAATTTACTTTTTTCATAAGAGCATACATTTACACCTATTAATCTAAAAAATTCACTACATTGATAATGCATCAAAACTTAATCCTACTGTTATTACTAACTTTTGTTGCTTTTCTTTTTCCATACCTTAGTTCACGTGAGAGCATATCAGTTTAAAAAAAAAAAAACAGCACACGTACACTATGATGTGTGGCAAGTTTATTTTAAGTAAGAGAGACCCATAGTGATCGACTACATATACGTCCACCTTTTAATATTTGTTAGATTTTGTAGTTGCCTTTGGCCTATTGCCTGTGCGATAAACAGTAATGTGTTATTTTATTACGAAATTGATTTTAAGTTGAAATAGTAAAAAATTGGAAATTGATGAATTCAGAATTGAATTTGCTTCATACTTTCAAAACTCTAAATGTCAAGTTTTATCAAATCTCATTCGTATTTATCACACACCATCCTATCAATAACCATATCCTTCGTAGTTTTGGTTTGGCTTTTGTGGTCTCTTTTGTTTACTTAGCAAAAACGAATTTTTGTACTTTGACGGTTCATCAATGGTTGCCATGACATTTGAACATTTCATGAAGACAACATTTCTTTCTCTGCATAGACTAATATGTCGATCCTTTTCTTCCAGCTTATTATTACTAAATATTGAACTAAAGAATTATGTAATACGTTAACTCTATTGGTCAAAGCCCACCGTAAGCAACTTGGAAGTAAGACAACGGTTATTTATTGTTCTAGAAATAATCTTGTTTAATTAGCATAAACATGTTATTGTTTTGACAGTTCATCAAAGGTTGTTAAAGGCATTATAAATTTGAACAGGATGACATCTCTTCTTTGGCATGAATTAAATTATGGAAAATTATATCTGTTCCAGTTCATTATTAGACAATTATTGAACTGAAAACTTTTTCTTAAAGAACTATTTAATACGTTAAGTCTATAGCTGATGGACCACCTTTGGCAAGCTGCAGAAAGCAAAATGAGGGAAGATACGTGTTTTCAATATAATGACATTTTCAATTAAAAGAAAATGTTAATTTCCTAATTCGCAATATAGTCCCTAGCATTATTGTTTTGCCACTTTACGCCTTCCATTAATACACATTTATTGTTTGAGGATTGAAAAACTAAAGAAGATATTACTATTCCCAGACCAAATGGTTTACTTATATTGAACCCTAAAAGGTACTGCAGAATTCTCTAAAAGTATAATTTGCATTTCACTTTAATTTTTAGCTTTAAAATGAGAGAGGGTTAGGTTGGATAGTAAGTTGGGAGGGATTGTAAGTAGGAGATCTTGAGTTTAAGACCTCTTACTTGCCAAAAAAAAATACTATATTTCTTTAGCTTTAAGTTCAGGTACTTTTCAACTAGTAATCAAGATAATTATGTTACTAAAGCAGCTAAAATGACAAACATACCCCTATCACTACTATGGTTTTTATTTTCTTTTGTACTTGTGTTGTGAAAAAAAATCAAAAAATAAACACATCTCTATGCACCAATAGTGTTTTCTCCATTGCTTTCTTTTTGCTAGGGATGCAAACGAGTCGAGTTTTGAATTTATTGAGTTGAGTTACACTTATTTATATGCGAGCTTGAGTTCGAGCTCGAACTCGTCAAGCTCAAAAATGAAGCTCGAGCTCGGCTCGATTTAGGAAAAGGCAAATTCAAGATCGACTCGCTTATGACTCACGAGCCTAGCTCGAATCCTGGTTCACGAGTAGCTCGAGTTTCGCTCGATTTTCTGGCTTGCATGAAACTCGAATTTAGCTCAATTTCTAGCTAGTTAGGAGCTCGAGCTTGAACTCGAAATCAGCTCGATTTTCTGGAAATTTAAGCAAGAAAACAGCATTTTTTTTCCACATAATTTTGATAAAATTTGAGCATGATAACAACAATTTTCACATATTCTTGATCTTGAAACCTACAAATTATCTACTAATTCAATCATAAACATATAAAACATAAAAATCTAAATGTCCAACACTTGAAATGTTCAACCATTGTCAAACTAATATAATGATAATAATAATAATAATAACAACAACAAATTAGTGGTTGGAATATACTACTATAGATATTATTGCCAAACTAAAAATCTATCCAAGAGAGAAATATAAATGATTTTTTATTTTCCTTTCTTTTTGGTACAGCAAGCATGAAAAAAAAGTAAAATTACTGACTTGAATGAAGTCGTTATCCAAGCACGAAGGCAGTGCTTTAGGTGGCTTAACAAAAGTATAACGCATCAATTTCCTGAAAGCCTCCGGCGTATGCGCAGCAGAATGGTGGCGGCGTCGTCCACGTTATTCACCGGAAACATCCCATCTCTAATATCCTTCTCCTCCAAACACGCCGGGGAGCATATTATCACCACCTTCTCCACACAATCTTCAAACTGCAGCGCCATGCTGTACGCCACGAACCCACCGTAACTCATCCCACCAGCCTCATTTTCTCCACCGACTTAGCCTCCATCACTCGCTTCACACACTGAGCCTGGAACGCGTCGGACCTGTCCGGCCTGGTCGTGTGTGACTCCCCGAAAAACACCAGGTCCGGCACGTAGACGTTGAAATGGGGCGTCAGGATTTGACGGCCTCGCACCATTGCCAGACGGCATCGGGTCCGAAGCCGTGGATGAGGACTACGTTGGGTGCAGAGGCCCCGTTCTGGGCCCGGACACGCGGCAGCCCAGGAGGAACCGAGCTGGGCCTTGGCCCCCAGACTCCTGGCAGCAGCCCTGGGCCGCACCGACTAGGGCTCCCAGGGGAGGCGAAGGTCCGTCCCGAGAGGTCGGGAGTAATCCCCCTGAGTGCGGGATGCTATCTATACTGGGCAAGTCCCGCGTCGTGCGGAGGTCGGACTCCCTTGCAGGTATAAATAATAACACACATCCACTGTACAAGGTACGCTCACTATTGACAATTTACTCTGGACAGTTGCTACTTCCCGTGAACCTTACTCACCGGAAAACTAACTTGGCCGTCGGAGCGCCCTCGGGGACAACCCTCGGGCCCCCTGTTAGCTCATCTTCTCTGTTTTGCAGGTCTTGGATCAGCTCTCCCATCGACACCCCGAGCTGATCAGGTCAGCTCTCCGGGGAAGCTCGCGCTTCTTCAGTTGGCGCCGTCTGTGGGAACCGTAAGGTAAGTAAGATTGTGTTGATGGCCCGGACGCGATCCAAGCGTACGGCAGAGAGCGCCGGCCCTGGGGGCGGTGAGGGGTCCCAGCGGAAAGAGGCCGGGGCGTCCCAGGGCGTCGGTGGCTCGCCCTTTCAGGGGAACGGAGGCAGCAGATCTTCCAGTTCGTGACGGAGAATCTCCCCATGCTGGAGGATATAATTCGGCAGGCGAAGGAGGGAGAGGGGGCTGGGGGTGCACAGACCTCCAAGGCCAAGGGAAGGAGAAGGAGTTACCCCCTGATCCTTCGGAGGATGAGTCGCGACCAGCCCCCTAGGAGGAAGCGACCCCGGACTCCTCCCCGCCCCCGAGCCTCGGTGGTCGGGGACAGCGAGAGGTATTCCCGCGACAGGTCCGCGAGGAGCCAACCCAGAGACCCCTCTCCGAGGAAGCCCACACGGAATGGGTTCGAGCGTTCCCCTGCTCGGTCTGTCAAAAGCCGGCCCCGCGATCATCTGGACCCTGCTCGGGATGAGCTCGAGCAGATCTTGAGGCCCCGGCCATACGAAGACAACTATGCAACCTCGCCCTTTACCCGGGAGATAGAGGACTACCCCCTACCCCGGAGGTTCAAGATTCCGAGCATCGAGATGTACGATGCCTCTACAGACCCGGAAGACCACCTCTCGGTATTCCTGACGCATATGCGCCTGCAAACCGCCGCGGATGAGGTTCGCTGCAAGACCTTCCCTATGTTCCTAAAGGGGAAGGCGCGGCTCTGGTTCCAGGGACTGAAACCGGGATCTATACGGAGCTTTCCCGAGCTGGCCCGGCAGTTTGCAGCCCAGTTCGTCTCCTCGAAGGTTTACGCGAGGAACGCAACCCACCTGATGTCCATCAGGCAAAGGCCCGACGAGTCGCTGAGGAATTTCATGACCCGCTTCAATGCGGAGAGCTTGCAGGTCAGGGACAAGGACGAAAAAGTGGTGATGGCCGCCTTCACAAACGGGCTCAGGGTGGAGGAGCTTTTCTACGATCTGGCCAAGAAGCCTCCCGTAAACCTGGAAGAGCTCCTACGCAGGGCTCACGAGGCTGCCAACGCGGAGGAGGCGGGTCGCCTAAAGAAAGAGTCAGATCGGGAGATCGGAGATCGTAAGGCCGGACCAACCCCCTGGAGGGCAAGGAGGCCCCGGCCAAGAAAAATGTCTTTGATCGGCTCTCGAAGGAGAAGACCCCTGCTCTGCCACCACTCTCAGAGAAGACCTACACCCCTCTAACACGGCCCAGAGCTCAGATCTTGGCCGTCATGGAGGCGGAAGGGCTGGGAGATCGGCCGCCCAAGATGGGGACGCCCCGGAACAAAAGGAACCAGGACCGATATTGCGCCTTTCACCGTGACGTCGGACACGACACGGAGGGGTGCTGGGCCCTGCGTAAGGAGATTGAGGACCTGATCCAACGTGGCTTTCTAGGTCGGTTCGTACGCCGACCAGGTCAGGAGTTCGGGCGCAACCATTACGGGATAGGCGTGAGGGACGGCGTCGGACCGCCAGAGCGCGACGCTCCTCGGCCACTCTCCCGACCAGGACACCCAGAACCTGGCGGGGTGATAAACACCATTGCGGAGGTCCCACGGGGGGGACAGCCATGCAGCTCGGAAGAACAAGCGGCCACCCCCGAAGGGGACGACTCCTTGAAGCGCTTGCGCATGGACGAGGAGATCACCTTCGGGCCAAGGGATGCGGTCCCTTGGCTTCTGGGAACCATGAGGCCATCGTGATAGACATTGTCACCAACAACTATCGGGTGAAGAAGGTATATGTCGACCAGGGTAGTGCGGTCGACATCATGTTCTACAGGTGTTCAAGGAGCTCGGATTAAGGGATGACCAGCTCACCCCGGTCCGGACACCTCTGGTGGGCTTCACCGGACCACCCATCAGCTCGGAAGGGATGATCACCCTGATGGTCACAGTAGGTCAGGCTCCCAAGTGCGGACCGTTCCCGTTAACTTCGTGGTGGTCAAGCAGTCGTCCCCGTACAATGTGTTCCTGGGGAGACCTGCTTGAACGCCCTCCGGGCTATTCCTCTACTTTCACCTCAGCGTCAAGTTCCCCACCCCGGGGGGATAGCCGAGGTGCACGGCGACCCGAGGTAGCCAGGGCTTGCTACCTGGCCACTCTCCGGGGGCAGGAGAAGGTGGTCGCCCAGACAACCTGTTTGGAGCCCTACATCCCAGGGGATGAGGCCCAACTGCTGGGCACCCAGGATGAGATTGAGGAGTTCCCTTGAGGAAGGAACGTCCCGACCAGGTCATCCGCATCGGGGCATTGCTGCCAGACGAGAAGGAAGGCTTGAAGGCCTTATTGAGGGAGTACTCCCAGGTCTTCGCATGGACGGTGGATGACATGCCCGGGATCCCTACGGACCTGGCCGTCCATCACCTCGACGTGGACCCTCACTTCAAGCCAGTAAAGCAAAAGAAAAGGAGTTTCGCCCCCGAGAGAAATGAGGTGATCAGGGCGGAGGTCGGCAAGTTGTTGGAGTCCAAGATCATCCTGGAGGTCTACTACCCGACCTGGCTGGCCAACCCCGTCCTGGTCAAGAAGGAGGACCTGACCTGGAGGATGTGTGTAGACTTCACAGACCTTAACAAAGCCTGCCCAAAGGACTGCTTTCCCCTGCCTCGAATTGACAGGTTAGTAGATTACTGTGGGCTTTGACGTTTTATGCTTTCTGGATGCCTTTAAGGGATATCACCAGATAGAGATGGCCGAGGAGGACCGGGACAAGACCTCCTTCATCACCGAGGAGGGAACCTACTGCTACAGGACCATGCCCTTCGGATTGAAGAACGCGGGAGCAACTTACCAGCGCCTGGTGAACAAGTTATTCCAAAACCAGGTCGGCAGGAGCATGGAGGTTTATGTGGACGACATGATCGTCAAAAGTCGAACTGACCAGCGCCTCATACCCGACCTGCGGGAGGTCCTGGACATCCTACTGAAGAGCCGGATGCGCCTAAATCCGAAGAAGTGCACTTTTGGGGTCAGATCGGGAAGGTTTCTCGGTTTCCTGGTGTCCCGAGACGGAATCCGGGCCAACCCGGATAAACTCCAGGCCATCATGGACATGGCCCCTCCGAGGAGCGTGAAGGAGGTCCAACGGCTAACAGGAAGGATGGCCGCCCTGAATAGGTTTCCTCGCGCTCCGCGGTCCGGGGGCTGCCCTTCTTCCGAGTACTGAAAGCGCCGAAGGACTTCCACTGGACTGAGGAGTGCCAGAAGGCCTTCATCGACCTAAAAATCTACTTGGCCGAGCTACCATCTCTGACAGCCCCAGAGCCGGGGGAGACCTTATTCCTATACCTATCCGCCTGCAACGAGGCCGTCAGCGCGGTCCTGGTGCGGGAGGATGGGGGGCTCAGAGGCCGGTGTATTACGTAAGCCGAGCTCTACAGGGGCCAGAGACACGATACTCGCCAGCCGAGAAGTTGGTCCTTGCCTTGGTACATGCGGCACGCAAGCTCCGCCCTTACTTTCAGGCTCACGGCATTGTAGTCCTGACTGACCAGCCCTTGCGTCAGATACTCACCAAGCCAGAGGTCTCGGGCAGAATGACCAAATGGGCTGTCGAGCTAGCCGAGCACGACATCGGCTATCAACCCCGCAAAGCCATCAAGGCCCAGGCCTTAGCGGATTTCCTTGCTGAGGGGGCTAGCTTGAGTCTAACCGAGCTAAGCCCCCAACACGAGGAGCGGCTGCCGAAGGAGCCCTGGGTGTTGTTCGTGACGGGGCCTCCAGCAAGGAAGGAAGCGGGGCGGGTCTGCTACTCATTTCACCTACCGGGGAAGAACTGACCTACGCCCTCCGATTGGACTTCCCCGCGTCCAACAACGAGGCCGAGTACGAGGCCCTGCTCACAGGATTGCGGATAGCCCACCAGATGGGAATAACCGCGATCCAGGTCAGGAGCGACTCACAGCTCGTCGTCCTTCAAGTCCTTGGGGAGTACGAAGCCAAGGACGAGGTTATGAAGAAGTACCTGGCCAAAGTACGAGAGGCGGTGGCCTTGTTCGAAACGTTCGAAATCGAGCGGGTGCCAAGGTCCCGAAACAAGCGGGCAGACGCCCTTTCAAAGTTGGCATCCTCCTCATTTGCTCACCTGAGCAAGAGGTATTGGTGGAGGTGCTGAAGCAGAAAAGTATCAATCAGGTCAGGTCCTGGCTATGGACAGCTCGGCCACCTGGATGACGCCCCTCGTTGACTTCCTCAGCTCGGGTGACCTCCCGAAAACAAAGCTGAGGCCCGACGCATCCAGCTCCGAGCTGCCAAGTACGCCTACGCCGGGGGAACCCTCTACAGGAGGTCGTACTTGTCCCCCTGGCTAAAGTGCGTGACGCCCGAGGAAGGTGATTACGTCTTGCGCGAAATCCATGAAGGAATATGTGCGGCCCATGTGGGGTCCCGAGTGCTGGCTAAGAAGTGCCTCCTTTTGGGCTACTATTGGCCCTCCGTCTTCCGAGACGCAGCAGATCTGGTCCAAAATGCCCAGCCTGCCAGGTGCACGCTTCGCTGCGCCATCAGCCAGCTCGGGAGATGGGTCCCCATCCACAGTCCTTGGCCCTTCGCTCAATGGGGGATAGACCTCCTGGGTCCCTTTCCCGAGCCCCGGGAAGATATGAGCACCTCGTGGTAGCCATAGACTACTTCACAAAATGGGTGGAAGCGGAGCCCCTGGTCTCTATCTCGGGGAAGGCAATTCAGAAATTCTTTTGGAAGAGCATAGTTTGCCGGTTTGGGATTCCGCATGTCCTGATATCCGACAATGGCCGCCAGTTCGCCGAGAACCCTTTCCGCAGCTGGTGCGCCGAGCTCGGAATCAACCAACACTTCACGTCGGTTGGTCAACCCCAGGCCAATGGCCAGGTGGAGAACGCTAACCGAACTGTCCTGCAAAGGTTGAAGACTAGACTGGAGTCCGCCCAATCAAGCTGGCTGGATGAGCTCCCCAGTGTCCTCTGGGCTTACCGCACTAAGCCCAGGACGGCTACTCACGAGACCCCGTTCTCCCTAACATACGGAGCAGAGGCTTGGTGCCCGCAGAGGTTGGTCTTCCCTCACCCAGAACACAGAACTTCGTGGCAACGTCCAACGAGGAAGAGCTTAGGTGCAACTTGGACATGCTCGAAGTCAGGCGGGAGGAAACGGCTATTCGAATGGCTAAGTATAAAACCAGCTCGCTCGCTATCACAACGCCAAAGTAAAGACTATACAGTACCAGCCGGAGACCTCGTCCTGAGGAAGAACTCGATAAGCCGAGTGCACGGCTCCAACAAGCTCGACCCAAATTGGGAGGGCCCCTACAAGGTCCTTGAGGCGAGCCGAGCTGGCTATTGCAAGCTCGCTAAGATGGATGGATCTGAAGTACCTCGGACTTGGCACTTCTCCAATTTGCGGTTGTTTGTAGCGTAGGTTAAACCAGGGTGATCAGTGGCCTGTTCTCTGGAATCCGAGTTTTTGTTTTCCCATTCAATCACAGCTCGTTTTAATTTTCACTTGTCCTTGTTTCATTTTACAATTTTCAAACCTGCACCTTACACTAGCACATTCAGCATTCCCTCGCTCAACGTCCTAGTGGGGGGCTAGGGTAGTGGGTGAAGTGTTCGACCCGGAGGTCGGCACGAACGCGCTTAATGAAGTGTGAAGTGTTCGACCCAGGAGGTCGGCAAGAACGCACTTAATGCTTAAAATATTCTGAAGTGTGAAGTGTTCGACCCAGGAGGTCGGCACGAACGCGCTTAATGAAGTGTGAAGTGTTCGACCCAGGAGGTCGGCAAGAACGCACTTAATGCTTAAAGTACTCGGTCGGAAGTGCGAATTGTTCGACCTAGGAGGTCGGCAAGGACGCGCTTAATATTTAAAGCACTCAGCCCCAAGGGGTGAGGTGTGAGGTGTTCGACCCCGGAGGTCGGCACATAGCATTGCGAGTGGGCAAGGAAAGAAGAAAATAACTCTTCGAAATCTTGTGTATACATTGCAAGCCTATCTATTACAAAGCTTCCGAGCTGCCTATCTATTACAAAGCGCCCTGCCTATCTACCGTAAAATTTCCGAGCTGGTAATCTCCTTCGATGTCTGTTCTACCTGCTGGTGGCCCGACCGGGGTGGAAGCTGAAAGTACACCTTAAGCATGTTGAGAGGCGTATGGTGAAGGCTATTCAGGAGCCCGGAAGCAGGAAACCCCTTCCGTCCTGGATGGACCTCCAAGAGCATTTTCAACTGGAGCATGGTCACATCCTTACAAAAAGACAGAAAGGGTTTCTGGAGTGGCTACCGCCCTAGGCCACCGGCTCTTTCCCGGCAGCTCTGCCTGGAGACCCGTCCTCCTCCAGGGGAACCTCCTCTAGGTCTGCTCCTACGTCGGTTCGGCGGACCAGGCTCTTCAGGGCATGCCCCTTCCGGTACCCATCAAAGAGCCAGTCCAGCCTATCCTCGGCCGCAGGATCGTAGTCCTTGAAGTCCGCCACGTTGAAGCCGGGTAGGTTGAGGCCCTGCACCTGGGTCAGGGCCCGCGTAGAGCCAACCTGGAGGATGGGCTGGTTGAGGAGGGCGATGTCCACCTCGAACTGATCGGAGGAGATAAACTCCGAACAGCCTTCTTCCGCTCTCGGCTGACGGTGCCGGAGAGCTCTACGGCATGCTCCTCCTTCAGCTTGGCCACACCAGCCCTCTCCTGGTCGAGCTCCGACCTGGTGGAGGCGAGCTGGACTTGGGCGGCGTCCATCTCCTTCTCGGCCTTGTCTAATTTGGCCTTAAGGGAGCTGGCCTCCTGGAGGGCCTGGAAAAGCCTCCTCTCCGCCTCCAGGTTCTTCTTCCGCAACTTCTTCAGGTCGGGAGACAGCTCGGAGAAGCGGGTAGCCAGGGCGGCACCGGCAGCGTTGGACTGGAAAAGAGAGAAAGCAGATCAGCATGCCACATCACTTAACCCAGACACGGGGGTGAAATTAACCCATGGGCGATACTTACTTGGGCCTGGGCGGTGTAGTACGCGTCCAAGAGCTCGGAGGGGCTGGCCAGCTCCATCCACTTCCTGTCCCTAGGAAGGACCGAGCCCACCATCAGCTCGCGAGCCACCTCGGGGAACTGAGCTCGGTCGTTGATGGAGAGTTTCCAGGACGGACAGAAGTGGCGGGGGTCATGCATCATGGGGGCTTGGCCTGGCTTCAGGGGAGCTATGTGGCGGAAGTGCCACAAGCTCGGGGGAGTCGATTCCTGGACCTGCTCCTCGGCAGAGCCCACGCCCAGGTGGACTGGTCCCCGGAGACCCGCGCAAGAGGAGGAGGCTGTGCAGAGACCAGGGCGAGCCTCTTCTGCCCAGCCTGAGAGGGCTCGTCCCCTCTGCCCCTCTTCTGTCCGGCCGCCTTCTTTTTGCTGGCGGCCTGCTTGGAGGGGGATGGTTGTGATGTCTCCTTCTGGGGGGCTGAGCCGCCCCCGGGGTGGAAGCCCCACCTGGGTCCCCCCGAGCAGCTCCGGGCTGGGGGTCGGGAGTGACCTCCTCGAGGGGTGCGCCCAGCAGCTGGGAGAGCTTCCTCACTGCAATGAACACCACCAGATCAGCCAAACGCAAGACAGTTAAGGGTAAAAAAGGAAAACTCTATACTACAAATGCGACAGGGGCAAGGCCAGCGTTACAGGTGTCGAGTTTGGGCTGGGGGGTAGCC